TCCTTTCAGATTTCTTTTCAGTGTTTTGTAATTGTCACTGTAGCAATCACTCACTCCCTTCCGTAAACTTATTCCTTGATATTCCACTCCTGTCAGAATGGCTAAAATCAAAAACACCAACAACAATTTATGCTGGAGAGGATGTGGTGAAAGGGAAACACTCCTCCATTACTGGTGGGAGTGCCAACTTGTTCAGCCACTTTGGAAATCAGTATGGAGATTCCTCAGAAAAATGGGAATAAACCTACCACAAGACCCAGCAACTCCACTCTTAGGCGTATATCCAAAAGATGCCCATTCATACAACAAGGATGTCTGTTCCACTATGTTCATAGCAGCATTATTTGTAATAGCCAGAACTTGGAAGCAATCTAGATGTCCCTCAACTGAAGAGTGGGTAGAGAAAATGTGGTACATTTACACAATGGAGTACTACTCAGCGGGGAAAAAAAAAACAATGGAATCTTGAAATTTGCAGGCAAATGGGTGGCTAGAAGAAACCATCCTGAGTGAGATAACTCAGTCATATAAAGGCAAACACGGTATGTACTCACTCATATATGGATTTTAGACATGGATCCCAAGGCCAGTGAGGCTGGGAAACAGGGAGGTTCCCAAGAGATATGCATTATACCCCAAAGAAGTGGTAAGAGGCAAGCTCTCCTGAGCAGATTAGGAACATGGGGGGGGAGAGGAGACGGAACCAGGAAAAAGAGAGGGGGATAAGAGGAAGGTAGAAGAAGACATGGGGGAGCAGGAAGGATGTGTCTGGGTAAGAATAGAGGAGACCAGGATGAGAGATACCATAATAGTTGGAGTCATTATAGCTTTGAGGAGAGAGCTGACACCAGTAAGATTTCCAGAGATCTACAAGAATAACACAAACTGGAAAACTAAGTAATAGCAGAGAGGCTACATCAGCCCCTACCTGATGATAAGGTTGATGACTACCTTATATGCCATCCTAGAACCTTCATCCAGTGACTGATGGAAGCAGAGACAGATACTCACAGCTAAACACTGAACTGAACCCCTGGAACCCAGTAACAGAGATGGAGGAGTGATGAGCAAAGGGGTCAAGACTGTGCTGGGAAACCCACAAAGACAGCTGACTAGACAAGGGGGAGCTCTTGAGCCCCAGAGTGATTGCTAAGAGGACAACAGAGGACTACCCAGACTCCATGAATACAGTGTCAGTGAGGAGGCCTCAGAAATCTCTGGGGCCTTGGGTAGTAGATTGATGTTCACCATGGCATACAAATGATCTTTGAGCCCATTCCACATGGAAGGATGCCCTCTCAGCCTGGACACATGGTGAAGGGCCTACATCCTGCCCTGGATGAAATGATAGACTCTGGAGATCCCCCCCAATGAGGGCCTCACCCTCCTTGGGGAATGATGTGGGGATTGGGATGGGGATGGGGGAGTGGGTGTGGGGCTGGTGGGGGGGGGGCTGGGATTGACATTTGAAGCATGCATGTTTCTAATTCAAATAAAAAAAGAAATAAAACATAGATGGAACTCGAAAAATCATCCTGAGTGAGGTAACACAGAGTCAGAAACACAAACATGATCCTTTGTATATGAATTATGGCTTCCAGTATTGTGTTTTTATTGAATTCCTGAGTGTGTGAATGAGTAGGTCTCTGTATCTAACTATATCTGTTCTTTCTGCCTTTTCTTGAACTCTTTTTCTTCTGTTTGTCCATGTCAAACTCAGGTCATCAGGATTGGCAGTAGGTGGCTTTACCTGATAGCACTATTTAACATTCTTAAGATGACAAAATTATACAAACAGATAGTATATTAATTTCTGCTAGGGATGAAGGCAGGAGGAAGTGGGTGACATCATAAAAAGTCAATATGAAAGACCTATTGTTCTTGAATCTCAGCTCTAGCAGCGGCCATCACACAAAGCATATAGAATCAAAGCATCACAATGTACCTCATAAATACATAAAGATTGGTCATGCTTTTTGAACTTCAAAAAATTAACATTTAAATAATATACTTTTATGATATACATTTGCTGTATTTGCTAATATCTCCTATCATATAAATTAATATAAATTATTACTATTATCTGTAATTAATCATTATTGTCAACTTGATGGGACTTAGAATCACTATAGAAACACTTCAAGCATGCATGTGAGGGGCCATGTAGATTAGGTTAAATGAAATAGAAAGACCCAGCCTAGATTTGGGTGGCACCATTCCATGAACTGGAATCACAGACTAAAAAAGGAAAAAGAAACCTAAACATAAGATCATTACTCTCTGCTTCCTAACCTGTGACAATGTGACCAGACACCTCCTGTTCTTGCCATCATACCTTCCCTGCCGTGATGGACTATGATCCATAGAACTGTAGGCCAAAATAAACCTTCCCCTCCAAAACATGCTTTAGCAAGTATTTTGTCACAGCAATGAAACAAATAACTGATGCATTATAATTATTATTCTCAACATCATTATTATTCACAATGTATTTATTAAGACCATCTACTGAGAAAGCTGAGCTTCTATCTCCTGGTAATGAAAGAGTCAATTACACTAAACCAACCTATGTCAGAACAGGTCCAGGAATGGAGTCAAGTGAGAATTCTAAGGGCTTGTGAAAACATTCCAAGAAAACAAGAGTCTTGTGACCTTAGTTTCTTCAAAATGCAGAATTGTTCTTGAAGTATGTTTCCATGCTCCTCCCAGGTGTAAAGGATAGGAGTGAATTTACTTCAACGTACTCATTGTTACTTGCTGTTGCTATTCAGTTAAATGCTTAAATTATCTTCTATACGCCTCCATAGAAAAATACGTTTTTGTCATGTATGTTTTTTCCTTGTGATTGCATACAGCTTGAACGCATGAGAATTTTACATACATGACCTGTCTTAACCCTCTCAGTTTAAATTGTCTGAGGCTCTGAAAAGAGTTGGCTATCTCATAAGACTTTAGTCTGTCTCATTTATCAGGTCCCACTGCCTCTAAAGCGGTGACAAACCTACATGCCAATAATATTACAAACCACAAATAGATGTTTTAAAAGAAAGTAAAGCTAAGACAGCAGGGGAGGTGACTCAGCAGAGAACCTGGTCAAAGCAGACAGACAACTCCTTCAAGTTGCCCTCTGCTCTACACATATGCAGGATGGCAAGCATGTTCCCATACATACATAAAGTTACAGTAAGTAAATAAGTAAACAAAAAAATGTTTAAGATACTAATTATGATACAGATCTTTTAAATACAAAATGGGAAAACATTTTTAAAAATAAGCATAGAAGCCTTTACCTAGCTAAAATTATATTTTTAAAGTAAACATTGAGAGGATGAAAACTGAGAAATGTGCACAAGCTGGGGCACAGAGCCACTCTCCTTTAATCCCAGCACTGGGAAGCAGAGGCAAGTGGAACTCTGTGAGTTCAAGGCCAGCCTGACCTACACAGTTCCAGGACAGCCAGAGCTACATATTGAGACACACACACACACTATCTACTGTGGTATTATTTGTATGCTGTGGTTCTGAAGTTAGTAAAACAGCCCTTTGTCTTACTTATGTTTCTCAGTTTTAACTCATGTGTCTTTTTCATACATTTTAAACAAAGGGTCAGGTATGGTACCCCATGCCTATAATCTGAGCAATTAGGCAGTAGAGGTAGAAGAATCAAGTTTGGGGCCAGTGTGGGTTACAGCTTTAGTTGCTGTTCTATTGTAGCTATGAAACACCATAGCCAAGGCAATTTACACAAATCTTTTTTTCCCCAGTTTTTCAAGACAGGGTTTCTCGATGTATACCAGATGTCTTGGAATGGCTCTATAAATCAGGCTGGCCTTGAACTGACAGAGATCCACCTGTCTCTGCCTCCCAGGTGCTAGGATTAAAGGTGTGTGCCACCATGCCCAGCTCAGAACAAAGAATTTAATTGGGGGCTTGCCTCTAGTTTCAGGGGGTTATTAGTCCATGATTATCATGGTGGGGAATATGGCAGCAAGCATGCATGGCACTGGAGCAGTAGCTAAGTGATTATATCTGACCAACAAGATGGAGGCCAAGAGACAACAAGACTGAGCCTGGCAGGGGACTTTTGAATCCTCAAAATCCACTCTCAGTGACAGATCTCCTCCAATAAGGCCACAACCCCTAAGCCAAATGTCCAGATATATGCACCTATGGGGGCCCTTCTCATCCAACCACCAGCACTCCATAGTAAGTTTCAGGTCATCTTCAAGAACAAAGTTAATGAATTCCTAACTCAAAATACAAAGCAAGGGGCTGAAGATATTGCTCAGTAGTTAAGAGCCTTTGGTGTTCTTCCTGAGGACCCAGGTTCTATGTCCAGCACCCAAGTCGTAGCTTACAATCAGCTGTAACTCTATTTCTAGGGGAACTGATGCCCTCTTCTGGCCCACTTCACAAACACAATGCATAGACATAGATGCAAGCAAAACAGTCATACACAATAATAATAATAATAATAATAATAATAATAATAATAATAATAATAAATAAAAACAAACTAATCTTAAAAAGTAAAAAACAAAACAAAAAAAGTTAAAAAAAAAGAAATCCTTCCTCAGCTCAAGAGCAGTTAAACACCCTCCTCTTCCTTCCTCTCCTTCAGAGATAGCATTATGGCTTTACCATTCACAATTACTCAAAGTAACCTAAAAATGGTACTTCCGGCATACTTTTACAAACCTAGCATAGTGATTGACATCTACAATCTCGCATTTAGGAGGACTTCCATAAGTATGGGGCCAGTCAGAGCTATATAGGAAGTTCCAGAATAACCTGGGTTGCAGAACAAGACTGCCTCAATAAAAAAAGCAAAGAGGAAACCTCCAGAATAAAAAAGTGATATAAAAAAACAGTAAACTTCACCTATGTTTCACCTATAAGTATTTCAACATAAAAGTGTTCTACCTATGCGTCACAAGAGAAGTAATGTAACACTTTAGGCTTGTTGTTTATACAGCTTAACTCATGAAGGTTTTACTCACTTGTGGTCATGATGCTAGGAGGGCAAGAGGGTATTCCATGATCCACTGCCCATCTGTAGGCTCCTTCTCCAACTAAAAAGCTGACAACAAAAAAGTTATTCTTTTAAAAATACATAGTGTCATCTTCTACAGTCAATAAGTTATAGAAGTATATCATATGACAAAGTCACGTCTGAGAGATACAAGTAATTCTAGGGTTGACACAAAATAAGATGTTCAAAGTTTCTTTTAAATTTTTCCTCATTAGAAGTAATTGATGTAGAAATTGGAAAAGATTAACAATAAAAAGTGAAAGTAACTTCCTAATGAAAATGAGATTTCTCTTTGATGCACATATTATAAAGTTTATTTTATACAATCTGTTCAATCAGGTTAAGAGTCTAAATGAATGTCTTCAGACTTGCTATTCTAGTCTAGAGCTAAATCTGTACAAACACATTGGCATGCTTACAATATTAAGTTCACTGCAGCAAAGAGGTACACAGAATGCTCAGAATCATTTTCACTCTAGTGAGTAAATACTTAAATACATCCCAAAGGGGATTTTCAACCCTATAATACAATTTTTACTATCAAAAGGGGAACAGGGCACTTCGAATTTATGGAACACTAAGACGAATTTCCAAAGACGTCAAAAAGCATGCCAACACAAGGAACAATCCTATTCTCTAAGTATGTCATGAGGTAAACTGTAATTGTAAGCCACAAACTGTAACAATCACTTCATCTTCTTCCACAACTGGCTACTTAAAGAGCCCAACCAGCAAGTAACGAAGCCCTTGAACATGTGCCTGGTTGTCAGTCTCCTAGTCTCTGTTTTTTGTTTCTAATCATTCCCACATTAAAACTTAAGAGCAGGAGCTGGGGAAATCAGTGGTGAAGAGTACCTACTGCTCTTGCAAAGGGCCCATGCTCCTTTCCCAGTGTCTATGCCCAGAGGCTTATGACCACTCATAACTCCAGTTCCAAGAGATCTAACTCTATCTTCTGACCTTTGTAGGCACCTGAATTCATTTACACATACTTCTACACAACAGACATATACAAATATAATTTTTAAAAATACATTAAAACAAACTGGGTGGTGGTGGCTCACACCTTTAATCCCAGCACTCAGGAGGCAGAGGCAGGCAGATCTCTGTGAGTTGAAGGCCAGCCTGGTCTACAGACCAAGTCCCAAGACAGCCTCCAAAACAATACAGAGAAACCCTGTCTCAGAAAACAAAACAAAAAACAAAAAAAATTGTGTGTGTGTGTGTGTGTGTGTGTGTGTGTGTGTGTGTGTGTGTGTGTATATATATCAAAATAAGCATCAAGAGTAGTAAATACTGAAGTCTTTATATTCAGTCATTACTAACACTAGTAAGAAATTTTGCACTTCCATGCAATCAAAACTATCAGAAAGCAACTTTTGAGCCAGGCAGTGGTGGCATCCACCTTTAATGATAGCACTCAGGAAGCAGAAACAGGTGCATCTCTAGGAGTTTGAGGCCAGGCTGGTCTACAAAGCAAGTTCTAGGAGAACTAGGGTTACACACAGATAGACCCTCCCTCAACAACTCAAAAAAAAAAAAAAAAGAAAAAGAAAAACCAAACAAATAAATGAATAAATGAATAAATAAATTGAGCAAGCAGGCAATGTTTGAAACTACAAAAGACCCCATGGTCAGAAAGCTTATGGCAACCACAAAAATGAACCAAATATTTATTGTGCTATGAACACTTTTAAATGCCCGAGATACTTAAAAATCTACAGAGATTAAATGATAAAAATTTCAGTAAGCACCCAGAAACAAAACAAATGATGCCAAAGAAAAATTAAGTGATTAATTACAGTAACTGTTATCTTTACATTGAGACTACAATGGAGAAAACACTGGGGAAAAAAAAGAGGAGAGAACCAACTGAAATGTTCAAATTTCTGTCATAATGGTCACTGGAAATAAAAGCTGTCACGCAAAATTCAGAGTAACTAAAACAAAACTTTAGGTGTAAGATTTCAGCTACCATTATGCCACCTTTAGTTCTTCCTTTTTCTATAGAAAAAAAAACTTGATTTGTTTAAGTCCTTCCATTAATATAAAAACATAAACCAGATGGTAAAATATTAAGTGATCAATCAAGGCAGAAGTTTGGGCTGAACCTAGTATGTTTTCAATACCTCAGATAGTCATCTAGGATTCAACCTCAGCATCCAAAATCACTGGCATTTGATATACAGTTCTTAAATTTCATTCTTTCACCAAATAAAACCAATCTAGAGCATGGGAAAAAGGTTCAGTTGGTAAAGTGTTTGCCTACCGAGCTAGATAGTTTTATGTTAACTTGACACAAGCTATAGCCATCTGAGAGGACAGAACTACCATTGATAAATGCCTCCATAAGATCAGGCTATAGGCAAACCTGAAGGACATTTTCTTAATTAGCAATTAATGGGGAAGGGCTCACCCCATCGTGGGTGGTGCCATACCTGGGCTATAAGAAAGCAGGCTGAGCAAGCCATGAAGAGAGAGAGAGTATGCCAAGTAAACACTCCTACATGGCATTAGTTCCTGCCTCTAGGTTCCTGTCCTATTTGAGTTCCTGTCCTGACTTCCTATATGATAGACTATGATGTAGAAGTATAAGCCAAATAAATCCTTTTTCACCAAGTTGCTTTTGGTCATGGTGTTTCATCACAGCAATAGTAACCCTAAATAGTATACCTAGCATGCATGTACTTCTGAGTTTGATCCCTTGATCCACATTGGGAGTTGAGGCCAACATGGAATACATGAGAACTTGTTTCAAACTTTGATATAATCTAAGTCATTCTGAAATATTTTAGGCACTTTGTCAATATTTAGAAGTCTTTTATAGATGTTATAAAGCATATTAAATGGTAATCTTTGTTTACCATCAAAGCCGTCTAGGAATTCACCACCACATGAAATGCTTTTAATATTTCAATGTAAAACTTTTGCAAAATGTTTATGTGTATGTATGACAATACATATGTATACATATGTAGTGGGGCATGTAAAAAGAAAAAAAACAATTTCTAGAACAGTAGGTACCAACTTAAATTTCCTTTGAAATATGTTCTGAATCTCAAAGGAGAAAACTTTAAAGGAGATTCGTACAAACCCATTTAAAAGCCCATTAACTCTACCATAGTAAGACATGCCCACTACTGTTCTTCCTTCCACTAAACCTCAACTGTCTTAGAGTTGCACTGATCTCACTGATAACTGTTTTGTTTTGTTTTGTTTTTGCTTGCCTTACTGTGTGTGCACAAACCCCAAGCCCACTCCAATCAATTCTCAAACAAACCAGTCAATAGAATCCTTGCAAAACACAAGTCAGAACTCATGTCTATGACTGTTAATAAGGCCAAGAACCTGAGATTAGGTAGGTCACAGGACCTAAGAGAAAACCTACTACTATTTATTATTCTACTAGATGAATACAATATTAAACCAATACCCAGACTTATCACTATACCCATAGACAAGTGCACCTCTCAACCCTCATCAGAGAAGCTTATTTTTGCAATAGACAGCGATTAATACAATAACCCACAACTGGTCACCATGCAGCTATTACAAGATAACAAGGTGTTCAACCCTAAATGCAACATCTACATCATACTCTTTTCTTTTAAGGCTCAAGGATCCTCTCAGAAGAGGGTATGGAAGGAGTATAAGGAGCCAGATATAATGGATGACTACAGTAAACAGTAACGTGTTTTCTGGAGACAGCAGTAGAGCAGTTGTGCATACGAAACGACAGCAACTGAGCAGCATGCACAGGATATTCACAAAAGCAAGCCAGACAAAAGTAGGGAGGTGATCAGGAAATCCCACCTCTAGCTGAGAAGCTATTGGCAACTTACAGCTACTTGGAAGGGAAAATCAGTTCTGTAAAGGGTTATGGTCCCTGAGAGGCTATCTATGTTCTAGAAGATGACCCAGGAATTAAGTGAATTCTATGAGTTTAAAAACAGAAAAGAAAACATGTGAGATTGGGAATAAATGGGGGGAGAAGTTGAAGGGGAGGGAGTGGAGGGGGTAAATAGATCAAGACACATTAGTCATATATGAAATTCTCAATAACAAACTAAAGGTACAAGAGAAAATACTAGGCATTGGATTTAAATAATGATTTCTATCATTTCATTGTGCATCATAAACACATGCAATTGAAAATAAATTAGGCTACTCACTACTTAAAGCTCATGAACATAAAGCAAAAGAGCTCACTGTACTAGGAGCATGCACTAAACAAAAACGGAATTTGTGTGAGAGGATAATGGATATATGTGTAATATATGTATGATGTATGCAGTGTGTGCAATGTATGTGTAATGTGTGCGATGTGTATATGTGTATGCTATATGTATGATGTGCAAGTAATGTGTGTGATATATATAATGTGATGTCTTTGTGGTGTGTAATGTGTGAGATGTGTGTGAAATGTTGTGATATGTGTGTGATGTGTGTATGTGTTCCTACATCCATGCATGTGACATGAAAACACTAGAGGTCAATGCCAGGTGTCTCCCTCTATCATTTTTTTCTTGTTTTTGAATCAAGGTCTCTCAGTGAACTGCCAGCTCATCATTTCAAAAACACTGGCTAGTTAGCCAGCCAGGGATTCACTTGTTTCTGTGCTCCTCCCCCAGTGTAGGGATTATAGGCATGTAGTACCATACAGGCCTTTTACTTGAATGTTATAACTCAAAACACTTTACCTACTAAGCTAACTGCTAAGGATGCTTCATTATTTAAAAAAAATTTTTTTCAAAAATATATAACCAATTTGATTTGAAAATTTATGTCCTCCAATCTGAAAAATTTCACATCCTTAAATCCAATTCTGAACAATTTTAGGATGGTATTAGGACATGTGACCTATGAAGGAAGATTAGGTGATTCGTCCCAGAGAGAGCCCAACTGAATAGGGCTAGGGTCCAAGGAACAGCTTTGCCCTCTCACCGTACAATGCAGCCAGCAAGCTCCACATCAGAAAAACATACACTACTGCTGCTAAGTTCCTGACCTTGGACTCCTCAGCTTTAAAACTGTAAGAAATAAATTATTGTTTTAAGCTACCCAGTCTATGACATTTTGTTACAGCACTGAAATTAATAGATCACTGTCTGCTTTAGTAATTATGAACATACTATCACTTTTACTCATGTACAACACTTACACAATTATTTTGAAGGAAACCCAAGATATGATATGATTTCAACTACAAATATCTTAGTATTTATCTCAAAAATGTTAATATAGGATCTCTCCATGTACCCAGACTGGCCTTAACTCACAACCATCCTGACTTAGTCTCCCCCAAGTGATGGGAATATAGGTAGGGACCATGACATCAAGACAAAAATTTCTTTCTCTTTACAAAAACCAAGCATACACATAACCAATATTGGAAAAACTATCACACACCCATAATCCCAGTAACTCAAGAGCTGAGGTAGAAGGACTACAATGAGAATGAAGCCTGCCTGGGCTACGCTGTGAGTTTCAAGCCAGCATAGGTTACAGTGTCTCCATAATAAATAAAGAAATAGGCCAGGCGGTGGTGGCGCACACCTTTAATCCCAGCACTCGGGAGGCAGAGGCAGGCGGATCTCTGTGAGTTCCAGGTCAGGCTGGACCGACAGCCTCCAAAACAATACAGAGAAACCCTGTCTCGTAAAACCAAAAATAAATAAAGAAATAGATAAATGAACAAATCCTTGGCATAAAAAAAAATCTCCCTCTGCCTTCCTTCTCCTGTGAGCTATAGAGATAAAATGAGCACTTTATTTAAGACATCTTAGGAAAGGCCCATTGTATGTACTTATTCTCTGTCCCTTAAACTGGTCTACTGCTTTAACAAGTAACACCTGGTTGTTAAGTTTTTCCATTTTCACCTGATAGGTGTTCTGACTTCACAAGTGGCAGTCAGCAAATAAACAATAGACACTTGTTGAATAAATAGATGGACATGTGATGAGTAACTAGATGAGTATAAACACAGTGTGATATGAGTGGATTCCCCCCAAATTTCTAACACATAAAGACATGTATAGGACTCAAGTTCCATTACCTCAAACTGTATCTTATTCTAATAAATTATGTAACATTGTAAGACAATGCATGCAACCCATATAAACTACAATGTACAAAGGTAGTATTAGTCAATTATCATTACACATATTAGGTTCCAAACTTAAAGTTCTAACTCTTTCACTAGAAAGCATATTGCATGCCTGGAAAGTGTCACATCAGTATGTAAGAAGAGATAAATCATAATATCAAATATTATGAGGGACTAGGAGAGAGTGAATGAATTTCTACGAATCAAATTAATAAAAAGCACATTTTGGACTTCCGCTACTCAGGTGCAGGTCACAGCAATCAGAAGAACAGTGAGTGACCCAGCTGCCAGCTGGCCACACCAGTAAGAAAAACAGATTCAGGCCACATCGCTCAGAAGAACAGAGACCAAGCTAACTGCCAGAAGGCGTGCTCCCAACTTAGACAGAGACTTCTTACCAGATCAGTGGTCACACCTGCCACCAGAAATCCTGGTACAAAGACCAGAAGACCAAAGAGGAAACAGAAACCAAGGAACAAAGCACCCATCCAACAAAGACAAACTCAGAAGTCAGCACTTAGACCTATTATCATGCCAAACCCAGATGCCTAATTGCCAGTGTAAGACACAATAAACAAAAGCCAGAACACTATGACAACAGCAAAGTCCAGCTATCCTATGAAAGCAAGACCTGAATACTCCAACATAGTGGAAGCACAACAAAAAGACCTGAAACTCAACTCTATGAAGACGACAGAGGTCCTTAAAGTCAAGGACAAGAAAAAAATTAGAGGAAATCAATTAATCCCTTAAAGAATGCCCCCCCACAAAGTACCTTCATAAAGAGATTAGAGATCCCATACCAGCAACTTAGTGGCACACCTGAAAGCTCCTGAACAAAAGAAGCAAACAAACCCAAGAGAGTAGACTAGAGAAAATAATCTGAGGACTGAAATCAATAAAATAGAAACAAAGAGAACAACACAAAGAAACAATAAAACAAAGAGTTGGTTCTTTGATAGAATCAAGATAGACAAACCCTTATCTACACTAAAAGACACAGAGAGAATATTCAAAATAGCAAAATCAGAAACAAAAAGGAGGATATAACAGCAGATACAGAATAAATCCAGAGAATCATTTGTATTCCACAAAATTGGAAAGGCTAAAAGAAATGGACAGTTTGTTGGCTAGATTCCACTTAGCAAAGCTAAATCAAAATCAAATAAATGAATTAAATAAAGTTATAAAGTGTCCTAAACAAAAGAAAAATTTTTCAAAGTCCAGATAGATGGTTTTAGCACAGAATTCTACCAGACTTTCAAAGAGAAATAAATGCCAATATCCCTCAATTACAGAAGGAATATTACCAAATTCATTTCATAAGGCCACAGTCACCCTGATACCTAAACACACAAAGATTCAACAAAGAAAATTGGTAAATTCTCAGAAAATTGGGAATTGATAATACCTCAAGACCCAGCTACACCACTCCTGGACATAGACCCAAAGGATGTTTCATCCTATCACAAGGACACTTGCTCAACTATGTTCACAGTAACTTTATTAATAATAACCAAAAAGCGGAAAACAACCTAAATGTCCCTCAACCAAACAATCAATAAAGAAAATGTGGTACATTTACGCAATGGAGTATTACTCAGCTGTTAAAAAACAGTGACATCATGAAATTTGCTGGCTAATGAATGGAAGGAACAGGTGGGGTTGGGAACAGAAGAGATTAACATGAGAGGTGAATAGAATACTAGGAGAAATTACTGAACTGGGGGGTGAAGTAGAACCTAGTGCAATGGAATTTATCAGAGTAACCCTAGCAAAGACTCCTAGTAAAAGGTGACATGGAGCCTGAATCAGACATCTTCTGGAACCAGGCAAGGCCTCAAGTGGAGGGTTTGGGACACCAATCCAGCCACGAAACCTTCAACCTACAGTTTGTCCTGCCTGCAGAGTGTTCTGGGACGAAAGCCCAATAGAACTGTCCTCAAAGAGACCAGAGACACTTCATCCAGCAGCCAATGGTAGTAAATGCAGAGTCCCATTGCCAAACATTAGGTGGAACTTGGGAATCTTGTGAGAGGCAGGAAGGATGGAAGGAATCTAAGACATCAGGGGTAGGCAAGATGCATAGAATCAATTGACCCAGACTCTTGGGACTTACAAAAATCTAGAGGCCTATATGGGTCTGATCTAGGTCCTCTGCATATATGTTATGGCTAAGTAGCTTGATGTTCTTATAGGAATCCTTACAGTGGAAACAGGGACAGTCACTTATGGGGCCCTTTTCCTCCTACTGGGTTGCCTTGTCCACCCTTGATGTGATGGTATGTACCTGGACTTACTGTATATTATGTTATATTTAGTTGATGTTCCTGGGAGCCCTGCTCTTCACTTAGGGGAGTTAAAGGACATATGGATCTGGAGGAGAAGGGAGACTGTCGGGGAAAGGAAGCGGAAACAGTGGTAGGGATGTAATATATGGGATGAGTAATTTTTTTTAAATCTTAAAAGCATCTTTTCTTTAAAAAAGTAAAATACAACATAAACTCAAAAAAAGATACATCTTGTTAAATTAATACAGGGGACTGGAAGAATCTATTTTTAAACTACTATAATTATACAGGTGAGCTTCCCAGTATGTAAAGATTTTTCACTAGTAGGCAAAATAGAGAAACAGAATAAACTTATCATCTTGTCTGAATTAATGAGAAAAAAAGCAAAATAAGAAAATGGAGTTTTATTAGACACTAGGCAACAAAGGACTGTTACCCTGTTGAAAAGAAAAGAAAAACATAAAAGCCACCTTGCTGTACTCAGAGAGCTAGCTCACTTGTATGAGTTCTAAAGCAAAATAAGAAAATGGAGTTTTATTAGACACTAGGCAACAAAGGACTGTTACCCTGTTGAAAAGAAAAGAAAAACATAAAAGCCACCTTGCTGTACTCAGAGAGCTAGCTCACTTGTATGAGTTCTAGAGTTTCTAGCCCAACAGTCCAGGAGCCCAGCAGTCTGTAAAGCAAAGAGAAGGATGGAACTGGGCCACCTGAAGCCAAAAGGGCTAGAATTCACAGGGCAAAGTTCAACAGAGAAACCAACTGCAGAGAGAGGACTCCAGAGAGCTGAAGAAAGCAGCTCTGTAGTGCATTGCTGAGTGAAGATCACAGCCTAAGAAAGGAAATTACCCAAAGCCCTGAAGCATGCAGTCTGTCAGTTGTAAAGGAAACGACCCCAAGTTCAGACATTGCCAGGAAGACCTTGGGCTCCTACCAACCAAAAGGAACTTCTACACTCTCACGTCATCTGCTATAGCAGTCCTGACACTTTTGCCTTAGAGTAAGACAAAATTATCTCAAGGCTAAATGTATTCTCTAGGCTTGTGAAAGGCTAAAGCAGGACTTAAAAGGACCAAACTTTTTAAATAATATAACCACATCCTGCAGTAAAATTTTAGAATGTCTACTAAAATATAAAAACATTCAAAGACTGAATCCCCTTAACTTGCAAGTCTGTCCTACTGACCTTTTTATCCTTTTTATTTTTTCTCAGTGAATAAGGTAAAAGATAAAACATTGTTAATTATTAGTAATGGATAATAGTTGCATCATGACAACTTACAATATGCAATGTATATTTTTCAAAGAATGTGCCAAAACTAATTATACAATAGGCTCCAGAATCTATGACGGGTTCTGGATTTCACAACAAAATAACCCTAACTGATCACTCGGTGACACAAAATCCTCTTGAAGATTAATGACACACAAATCCAGAAGTTAACTTCAACCTCCTTTGATCCATAAGGTTCTATTCCATCTGGAGTTCATCTACTTTAGAGGTTCCACAAAAACAGAACAAAGTATCTCTTAGTCTAAAGATTTGACACAATCAGTCAGTCCGCTATGGATTAAAGGAGCCTTCAAACACTAACCACCCAAGACAGAAGAAGAGGAACAAAGTGGTTACCAGGGAGGAATTCTGCCTGCAGAGAGCTTGCCCTTCTGCCCTTCACACAAGAGTCTGTTTGCAACTGAGACTGGATTCTTGATTCCTACAAAAATAAAATTGGCATAAAAAGAAATCAGAAATGTATTCATACTTCTCCACTTTGTTTTGTGCTGTTTCAATAAGACAACTTTAAAATACATTGAAAATTATTTACAGGCACCAAATGTACTAATACAAACTTAAACACAATAAAAACTTAAAATGTAGTCTACAGCAGAATTTTTCAACCTGTGGGTCACGACCCCTTTGGGTGTAATGACCCTTCACAGTAGACGGCTAAGACTACCTGCATGTGAGATGTTTATGTTATAATTCATTAACCATAGCAAAATTACAGCTATGAAGCAACAAAAAAATAATTTTATGGTTGGGGAGGGGTCACCACAACAGGAGGAACACTATTGAAGAGTTGCAGCACTAGGAAGGATGACAATCACTGGTCTTGGGGAACACTGACCTGAGACTAAGAAGTTTTAATTTTTAAACACCGTGGTAATATGGTATATATCTATATTCAGCAAGAAATGATGGGTCATATACTAGTTCTATTTCTGGGAGCTCTCCACACTGATTTCCACAATGGTTGTATTAATTTGCACCCCCACTGTGACTAATGGTTTCTTTCTCTGTACATCCTCTCCAATGTTTGCTGTAATAATTTGGATAATATGCATGTTGGTTATGGTGAGGTGATATCTCAAAGTCATTTAGTTTTGCATTTCTTTTTCTTCTAGAGCTTTCAGGAACAAGGCATGGTTGTCCACTCACTATATCTCTTCAATATTGTACTTGAAGTTCTAACTAGAGCAATTAGCACTGAAGGAGATCAAGGGGATACAAATTGGAAAGGAAGAAATCAAACTTTCACTATTTGCAGATCATCTGATAGTTTACATAAGTGACCCAAAAAATTCTACAAGGGAACTCCTACAGCTGATAAACACCTTCAGCAAAGTGGAAGGATACAAGATTAACTCAAAAAAAAAAAAAACAAAGAAAAATCAGTAGCACTCCTATATATAGACGATAAATGGGCTAAGAAAGAAATCAGAGAACATCACCATCCCAATAGCCACAAACAACATAAAATATCATGGGGTAACTGTATGACAAGAACTTGGAGTCCTTCCATGCATGAAGTCTCAGTGAGGAGGCCACAGAAATCACTGGGGCCTTGGGTAGTAGAACAGTGTTTACCATGGTTTATGAATGATCTTTGGGAGCCCATTCCAAATAGAGGGATGCTCTCTCAGCCTGGACACATGGGGAAGGGCTTAGGTCCTGCCCTGGATGAAATGACAGACTTTAGAGATCCACCCAAGGAGGGCCTCACCCTCCCTGGGGAATGATGTGGGGATTGGGTGGGGGCCTGGGGGTCTGTTGGAGGGACAAGGGAAGGGGTGGGAGAGGGATCTGGGATTGACATGTGAAGCATTCATGTTTCTAATTTAAATAAAAACATTACCAAAAAAAAAAAAAAAAAGAACTTGGAGTTTTTAAAGAAAGAAATTAAAGATACCAAAAAATGGAAAGATATTGGTGGCAAATACCAAAAACTGGCTGGTAAGATACAATCCTTAAAAAGACCAGCCAATGAGTCCCCTCCAGCCCCTACCTAGTGCTTGAAATGAGTCCAGCCTCTGCTCTGGGACCCAACTCCTGACATCGCCCTGTTTTCTTCTCCCTGGGCAAGTCCTGTAACTAGAGAGGAACCACTCCACCGGAAAGGATCTATCACCCTGAGCCCGGCCACACCTCAGCATTCAGTCCCCTCCAGCCCCTGCCCTGTGCTTAAGGTGAGCCAAGGCTCTGCTCTGGGCCCTGACTCCTGACATTGCCCTGCCTCTGTGTCCCTGGGCATGCCCCATGCCTACAGAGGACCCACCCCACTGAAAAGGATCACCCAGAGTCTGGTCACACCTCAGCATTCAGTCCCCCTCAGCCCCTGCCCTATACTTCAGTCTTCAGGCCCCTCCAATCTCCACACCAGGAGAGAAAGAGACCCCACGAGATCCCACTGGAAGAAGGAATGGGAAGACAGCAATATAGAAACACAGCCAACAAAGTAAGAACCAGTATGACACCACCAGAGTCTAGAAACTCTACACCAGCAAAACCTGAACATCCCAACACAAATGTAAGAGAAAAGAATGACCTTCAAAACAACCTCAGAAAATGACAAAGGTCCTCAGAGAGGATATGAGAAAACCCCTTAAAGAAATAGAAGAAAAAACAAACCAAAAAATGCAAGAAATCAACAAATCTCTAAAAGAAAGCCAAGAAAAAAACAATCAAACAGATGAAGGAAATAATTCAAACAATTCAAGACCTGAAAACTGAAATGGAAACACAAGCTGAGGTAATGCTGGAAATAGAAAAGCTGAATAAACAATCAGGAACTACAGATGCAAGCATAACTAACAGAATACAAGAGATGGAAGACAGAATATCATGCACTGAAGATAAACTACAGGAAATAGATTTATCGAAAGTCTTAAATCCAACAAATCTTTAACACAAATAACCAGGAAATATGGACAACATGAAAAGACCAAACCTAAGAATAATATGTATAGAAGAATGTGAAGAAGCCTCGCTCAATGGTGCAGAAAAGATATTCAACAAAATCATAAAAGAAAACTTTCCCAACCTGAAGGAGAGGCCTCTGAAAGTACAAGAAGCTTATCAAACACCAAATAGACTGGACCAAAAAAAAAGGTACCCTCACCACATAATAATCAAAACACTAAACATACAGAATAAAGAAAGAATATTAAGAGCAGCTAAGTAAAAAGGCCAAGTAACATATAAAGGAAAGCCCATCGGAATTACACCTGACTTCTCCATGGAAACTAAGAAAACCAGAAGGTCCTGGAAAGATGTGCTACAAACACTAAGCGATCACAGATTCTAGCTCAGACTACTATTACCAGCAAAACTCTCAAGCACTATAGATGGAGAAAACAAGATATTCCATGACAAAACAAGATTTACACAATATGTATCCACAAATGCAGCCCTACAGAAAGTTCTAGAAGGAAAACTCCAAATCAAGGAAGTTAACTACACTCAAAATAACATGGGCAATAGATAATCTTACTTTACTAGAAGTCAGAAATAGGGTAAAAATAAACACACAAAACCACCACCAAAAACGGATCTATAGCAAATAAGAATCAACAATGGTCATTAATATCCCTGAATATCAATGGTATTAAGTCACCTATAAAAAGACACAGGCTAACAGAATGGATACGAAGATAGAATCCATCATTCTGCTGCATACAAGAAACATACCTCAATTGCAAAGACAGACGTTGCCTCAATGTAAAGGGTTGGGAAAAGATGTTCCAATCAAATGGTCGTCAGAAACAAGCAGGGGTAGCTATCCTAATATCTAACAAAATAGACTTCAAACTAAAATTAATCAAAAGAGATGAAGGTCATTTCATATTAATCATAGGAAAAATCCATCAGGATGAAGTCTCAATTCTAAACATCTATGTCCCAAATACAAAGGCAGCCACATTCATAAAAGAAACATTACCAGAACTCAAATCATACATTAAACCCTACACATTTATAGTGGAATACTTCAACACCCAACTCTCACTACGGGACAGGTCCACCAGACAGAAACTTAAAAAAGAAACAATAGAAATAACAGAAGTTATGACCCAATTGGGTTAAACAAACATCCATAGAACATTCCATTCAAACACAAAAGAATATATACCTTCTTCTAAGCACCACATGGAACTTTCTCTAAAATCGCTCACATACTTGGCAATAAAGCAAACCTCAACAGATACAAAAAAAAATTGGGATAACCCCCTGTATCTTATCAGACCACCAAGGCTTAAAATTAGAATTTAACATCAACACAAATTTCAGAAATCCCACAAACACATGGAAATTGAACAATGCTCAATTGAATCACCCCTGGATAAAGGAAGAAATAAAGAAAGAAATCAAACACCTCCTAGAATTTAATGCACAACATACCCAACCTATGGAATACTCTGAAAGCAGTTCTAAGAGGAAAATTCATAGCACTAAAAGCCCACATGAAGAAACTAGAGAATTGCCACACTAGAAAATTAACAGAACACCTAAAGGTGCTAGGACAAAAAAAAAAAAAGGGAAACTCACCCAGGAGGTGTAGATGCCAGGAAATTATCAAACTGAGGGCTGACATCAATAAAGTAGAAACAAAGAAAACATACAAACAATCAATGAAACAAAGACTTGGTTCTTTGAGAAAATCAACAAGATAGACAAACCTTTATACAACCTAACCAAAAGACAGAGAGAGAACATGCTAATTAACAAATGAAAATGGGGACATAACAACGGACACTGAGGAATCCAAAGAATCATCAGGTCATACTTTGAAAACCTGTACTCCACTAAATTGGAAAATTTAAAGGAAATGGATGATTTTCTGGATATGTATCACCAAAATTAAATCAAGAAGAGACAAACAATTTAAACAGAACTATAACCCCTAAAGAAATAGAAGCAGCCATAAAAAGCCTTCCAACCGAAAAAATTCCAGGGCTAGACCTGTATAAGAAGAAATTGGAGTCTTTAAAGAAAGAAATTAAAGATACCAGAAAATGGAAACATCTCCCATTATTTTGGATAGGTAGGATCAACATAGCAAAAATGACTACCTTTTTTTTTTTTTTTCGAGACAGGGTTTCTCTGTATTGTTTTGGAGGCTGTCGGTCCAGCCCGGCCTCGAACTCACAGAGATCCGCCTGCCTCTGCCTCCCAAGTGCTGGGATTAAAGGTGTGAGCCACCACCACCCAGCAAAAATGACTATCTTACCAAAAGTAATCTACAGATTCAATGTAATTCCTAGCAAAATACCAGCATAATTTTTCACAGACCTCGAAAGGACAATCCTCAACTTTATATGGAAAAGCAAAAGACCCAGGATAACCAAAACAACCCTGTACAATAAAGGAACTTCAGGAGGCATCACCATCCCTGACTTCAAGCTGTACTATAGAGTTATAGTACTGAAAACAGCTTGG